CGAGCTGTCTTGAGGGACTCTTGTGGGATTTTATAGGGACTCCTGTTACGGGATCCTGCCGGGACTCTCGTGGGACATTTTTCAATTTTGTTTAGATTTTTCGGGATTTTACCAGGACTCCCGCAGGAGTTTATCAAAACCCCGCGGGACCCCGTGACGGGACTCTAATCCATATAAGAACGTTTACGTTTTAATGAACGAAATGAAAAAGAATAAATTTTCTATTCTAGCGTGAATATAGTTTCTACGTTTCTACGTTTTTCTCTCTCATTGTGAATTTAATACATACATAATCCATCAACTTGATCAATTAATGTCACATTAAGTCGAGAGTATTTAATTACCCTTTTTACTCTAACTCGGAGTGCACAAGTTACACATTATGCTCAGCTATTTTTCAGAAAAGGTCACCTGAATTTCTAGAGATATTAGACCATCAATACAGATAAAAAAAGTAGACTTTTTCTTCAATATAATTGTTTTTGGGAAACAATCGTATTCTATGCCTTATAAAAATAGCTGAGCATAATCTGGCACCCTTCCTTGAATTTTTAACGAATGTAGAGTACTGGACTCGCACTTTAAGATAGACTTTTTATTCTACGATATGATATGCTATATGTGGATTCTGGCTGCGATTGACGCCGCTCAAGAATCTCGAATTTGCGGTTTAATCGCATTCAAAGCCCGATGCTTATGTTCATTGTGAGCAGTTTGGCTCATGTATTGAATGTAATAATAGTTATATTTATCCATCGGCAGCCGATATAACAAGACATAAATTCGTAGACACAGAAGTAGAGTAGAGTCTACGCGTATTCTTGAGTTATCTGAACAATTATATTGCAAAAAGAATTTACTTTTTTGGTGTGAAGTGATGGTCCAATATTTCTAGAAATTCAGGTGACCTTTTTCTGAAAAATAGCTTAGCATAATGTGTAACTTGTGCAGTCCGAGTTAGAGTAAAAAGGGTAATTAAATACTCTCGACTTAATGTGACATTAATTGATCAAGTTGATGGATTATGTATGTATTAAATTCACAATGAGAGAGAAAAACGTAGAACACTACATTCACGCTAGAGTAGAAAATTTATTCTTTTTCATTTCGTTCATTAAAACGTAAACGTTCTTAGATCTATTAGATTATTTTATTTGAAACCGAATATATAAATATATATCTATGTGTAACTTATATTTATAAACAAGAAGATTACAGTTCAGCTTTAGATTGCGTAGCGGAGAATAAAAAAATGAGAATTTGTTCTATTCTGTACACAGAAATGTATCCGATTTCTTTCATTCAGCAAAGCCAGAAAAAGAAAAGAGAGTGATATTGATTAGAGATAAGATGATTATCGCTCGCTACTGCCGCATATCTTTCGCTATACGTGATAGTGATATGTTTTTTTTCATTCTGTTCTTCGCACGCCTTGTGACGTGGCATAAAAGATAGATATACGATATTTTGTTTTCTTTCATTTCTGTCGCTTATAAACGATAGAAAAGATGGACTAAATAAACGACTTTCGCGAAAGTTACTTATTTTCTGTAGCAGATAGATTTGTATGTTGAAATGTGATGTGACTATATTCAGACCTGGATACAGTAAGAAGAAAGTGAAATAAATTTCGAAAGAGAATACATAAACTGCATGTAACACTTTACTTTACTTTGAAAAAGTAATCTTTCAATGAAGTGCTAGATCTGTAAGAATTTTAAATGGCTTCTCCTGTTTCAAATTCGTTTTTACATCGTCTTCATGGAGTTCTCCACAAACTCCTACCCCTCCCAAACGTATAAGAAAAAAAACGAGTGCTCTTTATATATTATGTAATAATGAATTTTTCGCTATTATTGTACTTGACATAAAAAGACATAAACAATAGGATGGATGTCCTCGAACAAATGATTACGTGTGATTATTCTAGGGAAGAGAAGAATTGATTACATAACATATAAACAACACCTTGTATGGAATGATTTTACAGAGAAAAATTGAGGTGGAGTGGAATGTGTACTATGTCAGCGTTCAATGGATAATAATTCAAATTCAACCACATCAATGCTGTTTCATCTATCCGTCGCTCATCTACCTGAATATTTGCTTGTGAAAAATAACCACAGTAAACGTGCACAAAGAGACGGCAGTTTATTACCATTGAATAGTGAACGTTCGTTGCAACTGACTCGAATATTATCGAATTTTATTATTTGAGATTTATTACCCATTAGTTTCGTTGAAAGAAGTGAAGCGCTGAAAGAATTGATGAATGAGAAATTCTCAAAATTTAAAACTAAACCTGAATTGAACTGTTTTACTTGAGACAAATTTTTGAACAGATTCTTTATGTGTAAAACTCAGTGATTTGTTTGCTGAGAATTTTATTATTTTGCATGTTTGTATGTGCCAAACAATATTTCTGTGTGTCTGAAACTCTCCGATTGATGAATCGGCAATGTCACAACAATGGTTTACTCTTCTACTGTGGTTTGCTGTTTATTGATGAAACTTATTTTCTTTCTCTTCTTCTTCTACTAGCTAAATAAGCGGCTATCGTATAATTAAACGACTATCGGCTATGCATTAGAGAAAAATACAAACTATATAAAGGAAATTCGTCTATCGGTAAGAAAATATATACGATAGACGATAGAGAATAACAAACCTATAGTAACGCGTCACTTTCAGAATGGAACGAAAAGACTATCAAAACACTCTCATCTCTAATATTGATTTACATCTATTACTTATTTTTGACGGCTTCCCTAAGTGCATTATAATCTGAAGCTGCGCGTTGTGCACGTTTATGATCGAATAGCGAGCTCGATGCGATGCAATCGAGCGCAATGATCTTAACTTAGACTTTGTGGAAATGATAGAACAGAATGAAGGTTTTGAATTTGATTTATGAAGTCTTTAGAGGCTCTTGGCTTTTCTTCGATAAAGATAGAAAAAGCATGAAGGCTGTGCAACCAGCTTTTGTATCAGGTACACGTAACTCAAAGGTTAAGTGCCTTCTCCTTTTACATTAGAAGACACATATTCTGGTAGAAATCGGCGTGCTGATTCTGAATATCACCTTGTTTTTTCTATAGTTTTTCTATAGTAAAAAAAGCCGAAAAACTTGAATGTTTCGAATAAAGTTCGTGTTTTCGGCTTGTGGTGATCGAATCAACTTCTATTTTTTTACAAAATTGAGCATGTAAAACTGCATTAGAAAATACCTTTTCGAGTCCGTTCCAAGGGGGAAATAGCGGACTCCTGGACTCCTGAAGTCCAGGAGTCCAAGAGCAAAGTGTTCTTTTTTGGGAATCACTTCCCAAAAAAGAACAAAAGTGTTCATTTTTCGGAGTCCAGGAGTCCGCTATTTCCCCCTTGGTCCGTTCACTTATATCGTGGCCTAAGAAATCCCCGGACTTTAAACGGTTTCTGATTTTAGACCCACGCCGACTGAAAGTCTAATTACTTAGCCTAGTCAACACAAAGACTCGAGTGATAGCTCATTCGAACCGTCATACTACAAGCCAGACGCCCAAGTATTGGTTTTAATGACTGACCGCAGAAGTCTAGTTGTTCCGGATAGCTCAGTTTGTGGAGACTTTCAAGGGCTATCCATCGGTATATTTTTAAAAAATACATAATTTTTTATTACGACAGGAAAACGACTAAAGTAGTTTGCTGCACGTGTTTTTCGTACTCCAATGCTCCTTTTGTATGTCTTTGGTAACTGATCCGGCTAATGTGTCCATCAAACGGACTCAAAGTCTCACCCTTAAGTCTAAAAGCTTAAATAATATACTGTTGAAAGTCTAATATATTTTGTCGCTAGAAGAAATCATCATACCTTTGAATCATTACCATGCGATCCTTGTTGTGCTGGTGAATTTGGATCTTGTAGTAATGAACAAAGTGGTTTTGTTTCTTTTACTTGAACAATATGCAGAGAATTACCGACATCCGTTTTACCGATAACTTCAAATACCGTTGCTGGTAATAGAAGTATTTCATTTTCCTTTTTAAAATATGAATGTTGCGTAATCATTCTTCCATTCTCACACTCGATATTAAACAACGTACGTGTTCCCTGCTTTCCAAGGAATTGCTCGGATTCCAAAACTTCAAGAGACTCTGTGCAAGAACTGAAACCCCACCAGATAAATGTGCTTTTTTTCAGAAATTTTTCACTTAAATCCATTTTAATGCCACGCCATATTGTACGCTTTACCGGTGGTAATTTGTATAGGCCGACTAGAATGAGTTTTAAGTAGCTGAACCACGGTATCAATTTTTGACGATCTTCTGAACGTAACGTTTCATTAAGCAAATAATAGATAGATTTTTCTGCTGGATTCATTTGCATGGTGTAAAGGCGAATAGCTGCTGATTCATCTTCTGTGAGCCCCTGCGAAGGATTCTTACTATTTAGTTTAGTAATATGAACTTTTTTTTGTAGGTCTGGGATAAGATGTTCCAATGATTTGACTGCTAATTCTAAAGAAACAAGATCCATGTTTTGATAACCCTCAATTGGTGATAACGTTTTGCTTGAAACATTTTCAATATCAAAAAAACGAAAATTTGGTCGATTAATATTCTCCCTGCCAGCAACGGCAGCATAATCTGAGACCATCAGTCACAGTAGTGCAAACAGTGATAAATACGGTTTCTCTTCTAAAAGACAATGAAATAAACACTTATCATTTTTCTGCACCAATAAAAGCATAGAACACTGTGAAAAGATTGACTACTCATAGACAAAATCAGAAAATTTTTACGCCAAGTTTTCACCACTTAAGTTTAGTAAGTATTAAAAAAACCGCAGTTTTGCGTGTTCCTGTCAGTATGGTCTTCGTACAAAAATTATTTATTTGTACTTCATTAAAGTCAAAACATAGAAAATGCACTTCGGAGAAATGCACCTGTACTTTCATGAAACTCTCTCAAAAGGCTGACGTAGAAAAATTACTATTATACTACCCGAAGCACAATTTCAATCTCTACAAAATATCATTATTTCTATGGTTTGGACGACTTTAATAGCAATCAGTGTATGTCAAAATCTTCTGCAAGCGTAGAAAGATCTAAAAAGCAGATAAAACAGCCTAAACTTGAAACAGTTCCCGTGTTTACAATACTTTGTCAAAAAAATTAGGTTTTGTGCTAATAATATCTACGAGAAAAGGGTGAAACTCAGCGATTCACAAAACATTTACTCGTAGCTCAGATTTTTAGATATTTTCCCGTGGTATCTCAAGCAATAGATAACATCATTAGGAGTATTAATTTAGTTTTATTGTTCATTTATAATAACGGACAAATATAAACGATTCATTTATATTTAAAAAATAAATATAAATAAATGAAAAAAAAATTTATCTTTACTTTATAAAATAAATGATTCATTTATCTTTGTTTTATAAAAGTAAAGGATTCATTTATATTTATATCTTTATTTCAACCTTTATTTTATAAAAGTAAAGATAGAAATAAAGAAATTAATATAAATGAATCGTGTATATTTATTTTTCAAATACAAATGATTCATTTCCTAAAATAACACTAAATTAACACCCCTAAACATCATAAAGGTCATAGTCTGAATGGTTTCCATGTGATCAAGTAACTAGTTTTTATTGTTAGCTAGTAGAGGTAAAAACCGAGATATGAATACTTTTCAAAAGCTCTGGCTCATAACATACGATGCAAAAGGAATGGAGAAAATGTGGAGCATCATTACTGCATGTTTCTGATGTGCTAGAGAGCTATTCATCGCCTTAGCCCTTCACTAGCGAAAAGACAAATGTATTGTCGTAATTGCTCTATGAGTCATGCGGGTTAAAAGAAGAAGATATTTTCAATGTCCTACTTGCTGATGCGATATTTCAGACACACTAACGGTTGTCCACCACTTTTTTAAATTTAAAGAATTATCAAAAGTTACTCATAAACAGTCACAACCACTGTTTCGATAATAACAGTTTAAGCTCTCACCTGTTCGTTTCCTAGACGATAATGAATAAAAGAACATATATCAAGAGAAGGAGAAGAATTACAAAAATCTGAAGAAAAAAAAAATGAAAGATATAGACTTGAGCAGAGTGCTCGACAACCTTCAAAGGAAGAGAAGTAAAAAACCGACATTAACAACAAGATTTCATATTTACCATTTTATACTATAGCAGATTTACGTAGAGCGTGGAAAAAGTGCGTAGAAAAGGAAACCAATTGAAAATAAGACCTTGGACTACGTATATATTACGTAATGTGCGAAACAGAAAAAGCCTAAAGCCAGCGATCTTGAGAATGACGACTTCTTTTCATTTTCACATACAAAAGGTATAAGAGCTAGACATGAGATGAAATAAGAAAACTGTCTCCATCATTTCTGACAAAGTTGATTTTTATTTTGACAGACAGGATTTTACGGATCATTCAATTTTCTTACAGAAGTCGTTTGGTGGCATTTAAATGATAATGAACTGCATATTTCTCTTTGTGAAAGCAAAATCGTCGCAAAATTTTTGTGTTTTTTGAAAGAAAAACTTCACAAATATATTATTGAAACGATTAGAGACTATATACCTACATTTCTTTCTTCTAATGGGCGCTTTTATCGCGAGCACAGTTATCACTGTTATTACTACAATAATCAAAATCAATATACCGAACCAAATGTAACAGATCTTTTTTCGTCTTTTCTTTCGTTGATTATCTTTCATCAAAGCATTTGAGGTTTTGTTTTCATCTAAACAATTGACAGAAACATATTATTTTTCTTCTTTATACATTTATCTAGAAGAACCATCAAATATACGTTATATCATTACTTTGCATTAAATGATTCAGTTCACCTAGTGGGTCATTTGGTATTGGTGGATCAAGCAACGGTTTTATTAATTCGAGCTATAAATATTAAAAAAATCCACCCTATGATAAAATACAACGATGTTTTTGGTCTAACGGTGTCTGTGCCGATTAGTAAGTACATACGGTGACTTTTCCCCACGAAGCACGCGTTGAAAAATTCAATTTGTCTCGAGTACCAGGAGTCAGTGCGCAGAAAATCAATAAAGTCTTTCTTATCGAGATGACATGGAGTAACACGGAGGCTACTGATAGTCATGTTTCCGGCTAGACTCGATTGCCACGGCGTAAGGGAAGCCGTCGAAAATAAGTCTACGCGTAGATATAGATCAACATCATTCTGTTTTCTTTTTCTTTCTCTCGTTTGCTGTTGAATGAAAGAAAATGGATACATTTCTACAGACAGAATAGAACAAGTTTTCATTTTTTATTATCGGTTACACATTTTAACACAATCTAAAGCTAAACTATATTCTTTCTGTTTATAAACATAAGTTACACATATATATATATATCTTTATATATCCGTTTTCAAATAAAATCATCTAAAAGATATGAGAACGTTTGCGGTTTAATTAGGGGTGCTAATTTAGTTTTATTGTTCATTTATAATAATGGATAAAAGTAAACGAATCATTTATACTTAAAAAATAAATATAAATAAATAAAAAAAAATTTATCTTTATTTTATAAAAGCAAATGATTTATTTATATTAAAGGTAGAAATAAATAAATAAATATAACTGAATCATTTACTTTTATAAAATAAAGATAAATTTATTTTTTATTTATTTATCTTTATTTTCTAAGTATAAATGATTCAATTACATTTATTTTTCAAAAAGTAAATCGAGACATAGCTAGCGGGGTTTTAAGCCATACCTTTTTGAGAATAGATTTTCTAGAGTCCGAAGAGATCTCAAAATGCAGAAAAGAGTTGAATATTTAATTTAAGACGTTTCCGAGCTGTCTTGAGGGACTCTTGTGGGATTTTATAGGGACTCCG